GAGAGTATTTGAGAAATACATATATGAAATAGTTATAAAAATATGCAGGTTCAGGAATAACTCATCCCAGAATTACCTTCCAAGAAGAACTCAAGACCCATCTGGATAGCCACAACCTATACCCTACTTCCAATCAAGAAGTGCATTCCCTCAGTCTCACACCAGTGGGTTTACACCAACCCATAAAGAATCTTTCACTATCAACCACCCCAATAGTTTTATACTAGGAAAACACAGGTTCTTGCACTCCACTCAAAGATATCAGAAAGGAGGAACTTGAATAAGGCAGTACACTAAAAAGGTGAATTTACTGAACAGAAATCATCTCATCTGCATACAGTCCCACACTGACAGACTATGCAATGGATTATCACAAATATGGACAGCAGAAGCTGTCCCTTTGAATGATTATTTAGCCACTTTTTTATTTATTTATTGTTGGTCTGGTACGGCTTGGAAGGTAAACTATACACAACACACACCCCACCAAACCAGTCTTGCAGAAAATCCCATCTCAACAGTGGCATTGAGTAGGGGCAGACTGGCTGGAGACTTTATGTTATCTCCTACCTGATGCAGGTTTTGGGATAGAGAAGTATTCCTTGTGAGGCAACAGTGGCCACTTGGTTGGTTCCCATGTTTCCTGAAAAAATTGAAGAATGTCAAATGGAAGGAGACAAAACCCAGAGGCTAGTAAGACTGCAATGTGATGCAAGCAACATGACTTAAAAGTGTAGGACCATCAACATTTCCACTGCAGGATGTCATTCAGAGGATATTGATGGCCAAAGGCAATAGAAGCCAGAGGTAACAAAATTGATGGAAGGCAACATTAAAAAGGTCTATTCTCTTTAACAAGAGAATAGACCATATACCTGAGTTATCATAGTGGTGAACTTCAAAAGTGGGGTTACCAGAGGCAAAAGCAGGCTACAGGAAAAGCTGGTCAAAATAATCTACAGACATAGCAGTCAGCAAAAGCAACAGAAGCAGGAGGTTTGTAGTCTTGGATCCAAATAAAAGAACTTAGAAGAGAACCAACACTTAATGTACAATGATAACACTGCTCACCACCAGAGTACTTCCAGTTGCAAATGAAGTAGAATATAACAACTCTTGTTGAGAAGTGTCTGGACTTCAAGAGGCTCCAGAAATGTTGATATAAATTCTTATTCACCAACATCCATGAAACTGAATTAATTGAAAGCATTATTATTCAATTATTTCTCTTTTTTTTATCTTTTCCTTTTCTTTTTTGATGAAACTGTGATTGATTATTGCCTTCTGCCTAAATCATACTATAGGGTTAATGACAATGGGCATTCTGGATGATTTTTCACGTAGACATATTTTCACAATGGGAAATTTAATCAATAATCCTTTTACTCAAGTTTTGAATCAAAGCAACTATTTCTTATAAAAAAAAGAAGATATATTTTCTACAAATACATGATTCAGTAATCCGTACATGACTCCACAAGAGTCAAATAGGGGTCAACAAGAACAGGAAATGAGGTTTTAATTACTGTCCACAAAACATCTACACTGAAAATGTATACCAGTTCATTACATTATTTCTGAGAATGACCTTCACTCACAGTGTGCAGATTTTATGACAGTATTTCTGGGAACAACCTTCACAAAAGAGATGTATGTATAAATTATAACAGGTATTGAGAGGTCACCCTAGCAACTTATGCTGCAGTCATGTCAAACCACAGTATAAATATCAGCATCATTAAAATGTGATGTTTGTTTATTCAAAAAAGCAATATATGTATTATGCATTCTATAAGAAAGTCACTGGTTTGAACAAAATGGTTTATACAGAGATAATGACATAACATGCCACTTTAATTATACAAGTTGTATAATTACTGATGAAATAAAATAATATTTGCAAGTTTATTTTACAGAGAGTTGCTTTTTACAAGTTGCATGCCCAGTCTTATTAGTTTGTACACCTACATTTATTAATTCACAATGCACTCTTTTAATGATGTTCATTGTATTCAAGGTGACTGATTCAACTATCTGGATGTCTCAATAATCCAAAAGAACTACTTCATCACAAATGCTTTTGGATTAATGAAGTTTCACTGTATTCCTTTCAAGAAAATTATATCACCTGTAGTCAACTGAACATTTTTCTCAACTTTTATGGTTTAGGAAAATTAATTTTAATTTAAAAGTTAGACAAAGCTAAAAAAAGTCCTTTGTTAAACAAAATAAGATGCCTAAACATTGTAGTGCCAAGGAAAAGGATAAGTGCTCAAGGGGAGAACACTCACAAATATATTGTATCACCCTCCTATTGGTGTAGAGGTATAGTCTAATGTTGATTGCATCATAGACTAGAACAATACAGATTATTACATAAAGATGTAAGAACTCATTTGATACCTCAAAGCATGTGCTTCAGTTTTTTGCTATCAGCACCAATTATTTCATTTGTTGAGATGTAACACGAATGGTTTAAGTTACAATTCCTCTAATAAAAATTCCTAGTTCCTGTTCCCCTGTCTGACAATATTATATAGGACTTAATTTTGTGCTGCATATATGTATATATATATATATATATATATATTCCTTGTATAAACCCATCATTGTTACACTAAAATACATGTCTGAAGAGTTATACATTTCATACAATTTAACTGGCTTAATTTTTATATGTTTGTATAAAAATATTCTTAATGAAATATTTTATTTTTAATATTTAATTATTGCCTTATTATGGTTAAATCTATTCAAATGATCTAATACATTATAGTATCAGTACCCTAATAAACATATAAATACAGCAAAAAACTTTTACTGTTTGTTATTGCACCAAAATCTCTTGTTTTAACACACAAAACTTGACAGTTTAGTGTACATTAAAGATTTTATGAAAATCATTTTATAACCAATATGTAGCTTCCCCTTAAAATCATAGCCAATTTTGCCATGTCAAAGTCGATACATTTGTTTTTAAGCAATAAACCAATGGCTTTACAAGATACTCAGAAATTTTGATCCTAATTAATTTAGCTTTTACATATACAATACATTTAAACAAAACTTGCAGGTAAATTACTTTCAACACTCTGATGAGCAATATAACTAATTCTTTACACATACCATATTGAAGGGATAAATGATTTCCTACATCTGTCTTCCAAACAGCTTAGTTTTCTAGCGTGAGAAATCCTAACAGACATTAACTCTCTCACTACAGGTTCGGTTCCAGGGACCAACCTAGTAACCATTTTGTGCTTGTTATAATTTCCACACAATAATTCTTAATACAGTATGCATGAAATTTTGCAGAATATCAGTAAACATTACAAGGCTTTCATGCACAAAACATCAGATTTTTTAAACATTTGCTTGTGCATATTTTCTTTCTGAATGTTGAATATCCAACATGCAAAGTAATTTTGATTTTAAGATTAAAAATACTTTTATGCCTCAGAAAATTGTCAAGTTTCACTTGCAAAATCTCTATAAGCTCCAGTTAAATATCAAACAATTTTTTTAGTAAAAAAAACTTTATATTTTATCTGTTATTTTCACTATTGTATTTCTGCATGGGTTTAGTTGATTTGACCAACCTCATAACCACCAAAAATAAATTAGGAAATAGACATATATTTCTAGAATGATTACATATTATAACACAAAACCAAAAATGTTTAATCTAAATAGCTTAAATCTCGTACCATTATACATCTATATATATATATTTATTATTTTTATTTTATTGATATTGAAGCCATGTCTGACTAACATTACAGAAGTTGCAATGACACGGTGCACTTGCACTCATGTTACCATATCCAATAGTATAAAACTGGTCTTTACAAAGTGATCTTGCTTGGCTTTGTTCAAATGGACCAGTATTTTGTAAAATAAAGTTACATTTCGGTTATAATACATTATATACACATATATATATATATATATATACTATTACTATTACTATTTACACATAAGTTCTTAAATTTCAGTTATTTTTCTGAAAACATACAACAGTAAATAAAGAAATATAGAAAACAATGATCTGTACAACTTACAATTGTAAATAAGTTTGTACTCGCTTGCTGTATTTTGCATGCTAAGCCTTACTGAATTTCGCACATGTAAAAACAAAATAACTTTTGTAGGTTTTATATATGCACTTTTAAATAAAAAATTATAAATTACTCCACTAATATTGCAGAATTCTACTGTAATTTATCAGGCTTACTGACTAAACTGTATTTGGGTGTAAAAAATAATTTTCAAACAACATTTTCACTTGCCCCTTCTTTCCGAGATTGGAAACAAAAGAAATAATCTTGGGAAATTCCAACCTTCAAGGGGCTGAGAAAACCACATGGGGGAAGTTCTGAGCTTTTTTATTGGTTATTAACACCTGATAGAATGAAGCGAGTGTACAAAAGCAAGTATTTCCAAAAATGGAAGAGGTGGGTGGGGACACTGTGTTTGATTTGTCAAATATAGTATTATCTCAAAAAATAAAAAAGGTAGGAGGTTCTTATTTCATATTCTAGCTTGTCAATCTTGCTAATTTGTAAGTAACTATAGACTTTGTATTTGGACATCACAAACATCAAACTTTAACAATTAAAACTGCATTCAACATACCATTTAACACACAAAAACCAATATTTAGTTGTTTTTTAACATATAATTTTAAATTAAGAAATTAACTAATGTATAATACTAAAATTTGAATTATAATCCACAATTTGATACGAAACTTATTGACATACATTTATAAAATAGTAGTTCAATAAAATTTTGAATAAAAGTACACAAACATGATGACATGCTCCTTTGACGTCTGACCATAGGAAAACCCACAGCAATAGGGTTAACTAAGTCCTTGATAAAACTGTGAGATTGCTTTATTATAAAAATTATACTTAATCACAAAGCTACTCCAAATCAACTTTTCAGCTCTGATTTCTTGTAAAGAAATTACACATACTGTAAGCCATTATTCTTACTTCAAGGGCTAAAAATCGTACTTCTTCCTGTGGCTTATCCGGATTAACTTTGATAACTCTTGCTTTCCGAAATTCCTCCAACGTATGAACTTTTAGACCAGCCTGATTTGCTCCCTAGGAAAAAATTCAATTATAGTCACATACAGCAATATATATCAATATCAAAAATATGATTCAAAAAACATAAAAACATGTAGACCTTTAACTTAGAAAGTCTGATGACCAACATTATAGAATGATGCCTGGTTTACAAAGAAAACAGAGTAAGTATAAACACTTAAATAAAATATTTGAAGTTGAAATTTTTTTATTCATTTGAGCATTAGAACTTTGAGTATTTAATTCAGGTACTCCTGTGACTTAAACACAATGGAAATACAAATTTTTGAAGTCAAGTTCTAGACACTTTATTTGAAAAATTGCATGTACCCATCTTTTCGCCTGGTGAAGCACATTCTATACAAGTATTGTAGGCTTTTTAGAAAAATGTTGTTAAAATGTACATATACATGTAAATATAAAATGTGATACTTAACTTAAGCTGATAGCTGTATGAAATATTCACAGTGATATCAAGGAGCTAAGTGAATTTCTATTACCTGTTCTTTAGTTCACTTTCATCATAGAAGCAAAATCGTTTTTTATCATCATCTAAACCTCTATAAATACACATACAACTGAACCTTCAGTTTTAAACTAAGAAGACGACAAAATAATAATGTGAGTACACTCATGTATCTATAAGTCATAGGCTTAAGAACTGGTTTCATGCATACCCACCTGAATAACTTTTTATAAAAACAAACATGTGCTTATCAAGCAAACATTTTAAAAGTACTAGTAAAACCTCCAAACAATGAAAGGTAAAAAGGCATACAAGTTACACAGGTCTTGATCTTAACTTTTGAAGGCACTAAGCAAATGGTTGCTGTTATTTTTTCCTCACTAGTAATTTTGGGACTGCTACTGGCAACATTAAGTCACAATAAATTATTTCATGTATTACATGTTAATATATACACATATTCTATTTATATGGATAAATTTTTGTCATGTTTTCTTTTCAAAACAAATTTGAGTATCAAAACTCATTTTAATTCTGCGTAACAGTTTTTATTTTTAATTATGTTATAAAAGTTAAAAGATGTTCAATCTGAGCTGAGACTGGTCTATATAGGCCCTAGGTGCCCAGATCAACAAAGTTTGCAATACCCAACTATTGAAGGTTATGCTATACTAAAAAAACAAAAGTATTATTAAACAGTTACTGTTTGAATGCTGAAAATGCATTAGAAACCAACAAGTTTAAGATTTGTGTTAATTTGAGGAATGTGGGAAAAAAACAACCACAGTTTATGTTATTTCTATTTTATTATTACCTCCAATGAACAACCACTTGAGCATAGTATTTCTAACCATGCTGCCAACAAAACTGCATTATAGATACCACTATCCCCATTTCCTGATACTCAGCTTGGGTATGTCATATAACTCAAATTAGGGTCACAAAACTGGTATGGTACAAGCAAGAGGAACAATCTTGTTAATCACAATTATAGTAATCTTCTATACTCAGAATCTTATAAACGACAGAAATTCATGTATCATGGGTGTATTGATATTCAAAAAAAGGAACCTTCAAATCTTTCTTCAGAAATGTGTATTAGCAATGTTTTCCAATCCCTTATAAGTTTCACTACCAAAAGTGCAACACTAATCAGCTGTTTGTTAGCATTGATTTTAAGCTCTGGAGTAGCAGCTCTGTTCACTAAAAAATAAATACTTGTTTCACAAGAATTCTTGAATGTCAAACCATCTCAATAAGATCTGCAATTCAAGATTCCTTGAGTTTTTACTGTGCATATAGGTAAAACCCTAAAGGTTACTGCTCCTGAAAACTTTTGAATAAAGTACTGAATTCTGACAACAAATATTTTTCCAGAAATGTATCAATGTAAATCACTGCACTTTGTACCAAGTACAATAGGTAACAAGTTATAATTAATGCCAGAGATTTGTCCATCCCTATTTTCAAATGGAGTACTAACAGGAACATACTTCTCCTTGGTTTTGGTAAAATACATGTAGTATATACATTTATAGAGAATTGTCCAAAACTAAACAAACAAAAAAGGTAAATCATAACAAAAGATGTTAAACATTCATTCAAATTATTTGTATGAAATACACTCAATAGTATTCACTTTATTTAGTCAAATAATAGAAACTTAGTGTTCTAAAACAGTCTGGTTTTATCTTTCATAAGACACTTAACAAAAACAAAATACATTCTCCAATAGAAAGGAAGGAAGTTAGCTATTATATGGTACAGTTATGCAGGGAAAGTATTTAAATCAAGAAGTTCTTAATTTTATGTAGGCATAAAAAAATATTGCTAAAAAAATATTAAAAACAACACAAATATACAAGCCAGAATAGCTTGGCATCAGATTAATATTTATGTACTTTATTTGTAATATACCAGATATTGCATTTGGGCTTTAAGAAATATGCATGGTTAACCAAAAATTAAATAAGTCACCAAACCACTGAGAACAAACATGATTATAAAAACCGTGTACACAGGCTACCCACTCACTCCAATTCAAGATATCCAGTTCACAGTTCTGGCTAACCCATGGCTAGTCTTCTCAGTACTGAGTTGCCTGTCTAGAACAGATACTATGGTTATATACATGATAAAAATCATCACAGAACTTCACCTGACAATGACTATCTTGTGATGCAAGAGAACTCTTATCATTGTGTCCAGCTCAGACATGTAAAAACAAATAGATGGTGCACCAGCTTTTGTATACAGGCAAAAGTTGTTGTGATTTGTATGCACAATTTTGTGTGTAGCAATCTGTAATATACGCTGTTATAAATCAGGGCTCCAGATAGCTAGCACATACTTTTTCGAGATATCATTTTTAATTTTACATGTATCAGTTACAGATGTACTATCACCAATACAATATGAATTATTGTGCCTATTGGTTGCACACTGTGAAAATGGCTATTTTTCCACAACAGACACTTGCATCGTGCTTAAAAAAAGAGCAAATCACAACTAAGAGTGTAACAATACTTCAAATATTTGACAGGTATGCATTAATGTTATAATAAAATAATTGCATGGGCAACGAAATAACAAAATGCAAAATAGAATATAAAGTAGTGGTGAAAAACTAATCAAATTAAAATCATTTTATTAACAAAACTCAAAAATAATATTTAGGGTAACAGCCCTTCATCAGGATACCAGTGATAATGAAACTGTTAATACAAGGGTTAGGTTGAAAGAACAAGTAACACGTGGCTTAAAGGTTCGAAAACATGTTCCTAAGCTACAAATAAGAAAAGGGAAGTAACATACATCAAAAAGAAAATTATAAAAATTGTATAAATATAGTAAATCATAGTAAATAAACTAAACAAAAAAGAAAAATATAGTGAAAAGAAAAGAATATAAAAATAACAAAAGTGTGCAGGCTAGAGAGGTAAAAAAGTGTGAACCTTGAACAAAAAGGTTGTAGACACAAATTGTCAGTGTGAGAAAGTTCGTGAAACAGTAAATTAGGTCATCAAAAAGGATGTATGAG